AATATTAAAAATATATTTATTACTTTCATGTAGGAACTCAAGTTTTACTTACTAACAAAAATAGAATAAAATTATTCACTTGGACTACTTATGTTGAACATTAATTTATAACAATAGTAATTAACACGCTATATCACATTAATATTATAATTTAACATGTTAATGCATATAACTTCAATTCACACTGTGTGTCCACTCATGTGAAAATTATCCAGAAAGATTATTTTTATGAGGTTAGAATCGGGTTTTTTAAATAGACTGTCCTCTAACAAAAAAATTAACAGAATCCTGTAAGAATATTTTCAAAAGTAGAAATTCCCAAAAGGTAGGTTAAAAGAAATTGTTATGTAGTATCGAGAAGGTAGAAAAGTGAAAAAGTATTGATCTTATATAGATTTGACCAGATGGTGCGAACTGCGAATAGGCATCTGAGAAATTAGTTACTCGATGGATTTATTAAATCAAAAAGTATGAATGTATCAGGATCCGGCTTCTCTTCATTTCTCTTCTCTCTATTTTCCCCAAGTTCCTATTTGGATTAGTAACACATAACATAAGTTAAAATAAATGGCTAAGATTTAATTTCCCAAAGTAAACCTCTAACCATGATTTAACTAATACATACAATATATATTTACTACTAAAAATTATTATAATCTCACAATCTTAGCAACATATTATCTTGTCCATAAATATAGGAAAAAAAGTTTTCTTCCAAAATTTTTTTGGTAGAATCTTTTTTTAATCTTCTTTTAAATAATCTTTTTATCGTAATCTTTGTTTGAAACTTTCTCTATGAGAAATCAGAATTGAGAAATGAACTGAAGCCTAAGCTAACTAGTCAACTAAAGGTAGAATTGTAATTAAATAAATTACTACTAAATTATCGATTCAGCCGTTAAGAAAATAACTTAAATCGATAACTCAATAAGAAGAAAAACTTTTAAGCTTATACATTCTTTTTTTTTTAAAGAAGAAGATGTTACCGATTATAGAAAAAAACAGGGAAATAAATTAGGAAAAATAATAAACTTCAATAGCTAATGGTTAAAAAGAAAAATTCAAGGAAAAAATGCAATAAAAAGATAACTTAAAAAAAAAAAAAAAGAGTAACATCCTGAGTAAAAAAAAATATAGGAAGAAAACTCTTTTTCCCCTAAATTTATGAACAAGATAATAGGTTGCTAAGATTGTGGGGTTATAGTAATTTTTAAAATTAAATATATAATATATTTATTAATTAAATCATGGTTAGAAATTTACTTTGGAAATTAAATCTTAGCCATTCAATTTAACATATGCCATGTGTCACTATTCTAAATAGGAACTTGGAAAGGAGCCAAATCCTTAATTAACATTCATACTTTTAAGTAGGGTGTTCACGGTTTGGATAAAAACCGATCCAAATCGAAAAACTGAACCAAACCGATTTTTATTTGGGTTAGGTGTGGTTCGGTTTTAGATTTTTAAAAATCGATAGTATATGGGTTGGTTATGGTTTTGTTCGAAAAAACCCAAAGAAATAACCGAATCGACAAATTATATACATATATATTATTAATATACATACATAATATATTATTTTTATAAACAATTTTAAAGATCTTATATGTGTTTTCATCAAAATTAATTTATAATTTACTTGTGAAGGAAAAAATGCCCAAGGTGAGGATATTTATCTTATTGGTTTTATGTATATGAGTGTGTCTATGACAATTCTTTATAAGATTGAAAATATCACTTTCTCTTTCTTCTAAGCCAAAATAATGAATTTTGAAGCCTTAGTCAGAGTAAATTCAATGATTGAAAGTTATGTAATGTCAGTCATTCTAACTATTTTCATTTTAAATGGTTTGTTGTCACTTTTTTCATGTTTTGAATGAATTATTTCTTTTATTTTTGTCTATGGTTAATAACCGAATAACCAAACCAAACCGAACCAAAACCGACAACAACCAAACCGATAAATATACACTATATTTGTTTGGTTTTGGTTTTGACCAATAACCGATCCAAATCGACCCATGAACACCCCTACTTTTAAGTTAAAAAATAACTGAAAATCTTGAGTCAAATCGACTATACAAATAATATTTAAAATTTAAAATTTTACAGGTATATTAAGATTTACCAAAGAATACCCAAAGTCCCGAAACACATGCATCTCCTAATTCCTAAAAAGTCTAGAAAGATTTACACCTTTCATATTTATACTTCAATATTCAAATATTTTCAAGTTTTCAAAACCAGATCTTTAAAACTTTTTTTCACAAAACTTCTAAAAAAAAATCAAGTAAATGTATATTCAAACTTTACTTCAATTTCTAAAGATCACAATTGGATAGACAACTCAATCTTCAAGTTAAAAAAACAGCTAGTGGCAATATCTCTTTGCACCTTTTTGGCCATCAATATATATATACACATCATATTTTCCCTACAAATTAAAGAACATAGATATAAGTATGTATACTTTCTCTTTTCCCTCCAAAGCACATGGATTTAAAAAGAATGAAAAGAGAAAAATAGGCAAACTTGAAAGAATAGGACTTTAATGTGTTTGGCATACGACCACAAAGACAGTATCATTATATTACCCATTTGCAATTAACAAATATTAATAAAGTGTATATATATATATATATATATATATATATCTCACTCTTTCAGTTAACCAACGAGATATCCATCTTATAACTACTACAAAAGAAATTCCACACATGCAATTTTTGGTGGAAATTGTAATCATGTTGTCTCCCAAAACAATTAGGAAAAACAGAGATTTAATTCCCATTTTTTATAACAAAGTTTGAGCAGAAGAAATCCAAATGTGTCGGTAATTAAAGATTCTTTAATCACTAATTGCACAAAAAAAAAGTGTAAAAGTGGCTCTTTTGGAACAGAGATTACGGAGATAATTAAAGTGAAAAAGATTATATTAACGCGTGGATCACTAAATACTGCTTTGTACCTTTTTTCACACTAGAATAATCTAAAACCTTCTTCTTCTTCATTTCCTTTATTTCTTTTTATTTTTTAATTTTAATTAATACTTTGGAAATTCTCTTTACCAAAAAGTTCAAAGCACAGCCATCTTAAAGTGGGAGTAGTCTATGGGCTGAAAATTCGGTATTAGTAGCCAAATTTGATTACCTAAATGATTGCAAAAATAAAAAATTATTTGTGAAACTAATTTAGCAATGATGAATCTTTATAGGGTAAAAATAACTCTTTTTCTTTTTTTTACTTGTCATATTTATTAAAAATAGTTATTTCAGAATACTTGTCATTTAATTAAAACAAAAAAGAATGGAGATTGGATTCTTTATATTTTATTGTTACTCAGACTAATGTGGAAGAGATTAATTAATATAGCAAGAGCAAGACATAATTATAAATAAATAAATAAATAAAAGTAAACTAATCGAAATACTTTTTATTTAGAATTTTTGTCGAAAGAGAGTGTAAAAGAAAAATTGACAAGTAAAATGAATAGGAGAGAATCGGATTAGAATCAACTAGGTATGAGTTTGATATTTCAATCTTTCTTCTTAAAACATATTAATTTCACCAATTGTTCTTATTTTTTAAAAGAAAAGATCTATAACTCAATTTCACACGAAATTGTAAATTGTATGTCATATATTACTAGACCTTCATCATTGTTTTTTTGGGGGGAATGGATATTAATGATGGCGGTGAAAAGGGACTCCTAATTAGTAGTACAATATTTGCTAACCTAATGATGGTTAAGTCCCTTGCCTATGATTTAGTGTCTGGGCTTTTTGTTTCATATATGATCCATAATTAGTCTTTTCAAAGTTCCAAAATGAACCCACATCATTTCTAGTCAAAATCTTTTCATTAATCCCTTATTTATCCTAAATAGCAGGTAATAGTAATACTAATAATTATTCAGACCAGTTTGAAGAGAGATCAACCTGCATTGTGCCTCTCCAAATATTTTGGCATGCCCAACTTTTCACGTGAATGACCATTCACTTCTTGGTCTCATGATATTATTATTTCATGTTAATACCTGTTCCATAGAGGCGTTATAGCAACTTATATATGGTGCTAGAATTAATTAATCAAGAGATTAAGAGACATTATATACCCCTATTCATAAGTTACTATTTTTTGCTCTTTTAGTGACTCAAATTCGTTTATATGCCTAATCTATGTAGCGTGGGTGGTCTATTCAGCAATACAAAATATCCATGCATAACTTGTTTAAGAATCACAATCTTAAAATAGGAGGTGTAGAATGCTTGCCACTTGATCAACCCATCTCGTCGAAGCAAAGGAACATCATTTGTATTTGCTCAATTTTTCAAGTTTTTATATATTTATAATGACCATCTCATATTTATCGATATGCATAAGCTAAAGAATAAAGAGTGAAAAGGGACATTTTTATTTATCTTTTACAAATCTGCAACTTCACTAAACTTGCATGGTTAGTTAATTAGTTTATCTTTTTAGATCAAGTATGTTCAAGTATCTTTTCTGGTATCGAACATAAGACTCACGATTGTTTATTACACATAGGTTTACATTAAAATAGTTCCTATTATTTTTTTCTTGAGGAATATTACCTGAAAAGAAAAAAATTAAAATATAGTAGAAGAAGAATAACATTAAGTGGGAATTTTAGAATACATTCCTTCCCTTTTTCCATCTTGATTAATTAATTTTAATACAAAGATAGAAAACCAAACCACACTATTAACTTTCTGAGCCTAACAATCATAGCTCACTCTTGTAAAACAGCGAGCGCAACGCATTCACGGAATTACTGAATCTTCTTATCCGCTGCAAAGATCAACGGCTCAGATTAACTACGAGCTCTCCCCCTATTTTCCACATCAGATTTACGCCTCCTTCCTATTATTCATTAACTGATCTGTACATTAACCCCTAATTTTATGTTATCTATTTTTTTTATCTTTTAATGGGCAATACAGTAAATATTGAGTAAGAAATACACTTTATTAAGTTTAGCTATGAAGAACAATAGCCAACTTCTCTTCCTGATGAAATTTGATTTGCCTAGCAATGAAATCCTCAATGGCTTTCTGAAACTCCTCATTGCTTAATTCATCCACTGGATAAACTGTTTCCGATGGATCAACGGAATTATCGATTTTCCGGTACATCTCTGTCTCCGATCTACGAAGCTTACCGTATATTTCCTTGTTACTTCCCCTTTCAAACTTCGCCGATTTAGTTCTCCGTGGAATTTGAGAATAAAAATCCTTTTCAGTTTCCGTCTCTGGTTCTTCGGAACCGTCTGATTCCGAAATCGTCTGAGCATTCACTTCAAGTATAGTCTGTTTGTCTTGGTAGACAGTTTGTTCACGTGCCGGTGCGGAAGAGGAGTTTCCGGCGGTGAAATTCCCGGAGCATTCTTCCTTTTCGATGAATGAATCGTAGAGTTCAGTTTCGGTGTTATTTGAGATCGTTGATGAATCGCCGTTGAATCGGCCAGATTTGAAGAAGAGAGTGAGAACGATGACGTTGCTAATAAGGAAAATGAAGAGAGGGCTAAGTATTATGGAGATAAGTTGCCGGAAATACTCGCCGGATATTTTGACGACAAAAGGTAACCGAGTAGAACTCCATAAGAGCACAAAAACTCCAACGCAAAGCTCAACAATTCGAAAAAGCTTGGCAACGCTTTTGAAACTGTGGAATATCAGAATTACTCTGTTTTCCATTTTTTCAGTACCGAAATCGAAAGCATCCATTTGTAGAGCAATGAAAACAAGCTATGCTGATCGATTGAAAAAGTTGGTTTTTCACAGAAAAATCTAAAGGGAATTTGAGTAGATATGTAGTGACGGTTTTGCTTATTACTTACTATTATTTACTGAGAGAAGAGTAAAGGAGTGAGGAATTTAGATTTATTGGAAGCAATAGAAGCGTTTTAAATGAATAGGTCCTGCCATTTTATAGAGTATTAATATTGTTACGTGGAATAAACAATACGATTTTGCAAAAGCTATTTAGTATGTTTTAATCAGACGGCGAATAATTGAAAAAAGAAAAATCTTCTGTTGTGTTTGGTCAATAATAAATAGAAAAATATTTGACAGAAGACTCATAAGTTGATATTCAAAGAGTTCGAGTTAATATCTCAAATAGTCACTCAACTTTGACTAGTTTACTTAGAAAGTCACTCAACTTTGAATAGTTTACTTAAAAAGTCACTCAATTTTGTTTTATCACTCAAAAGTCACTCAACTATTGATATTTCATTTAGAAAATCACTCAACTAATGATATTTTACTTAGAAAGTCATCCAATTAATTTAAATAATTTCTTCATTAAATTTTGTTGAAATACAATTTTATTTTAAACTAATTTTTTAAAAATAAAAAAATGCTCAATTTAACTATTTTATTAAATTTTGTTGAAATATTTTTTTTTTTTAAAATAATAAAAGATCGCTATTGTGCATCTTTTTTATTACTCCTTTTAATGTAGTAAACGATTGCTATTTAAAACGTATAGTGCAATTGACAAATTAAAATTAAAACTTACAGTAGCATTGCTTGTAATTTCATAAGAAATAATAAATGATTGTTATTTTAAATGTACAGTAGCAATTAAGAGAAAAAATTGCTTTTCTGTTCTCGCAATTGTTTTACTGGAATTAAACGTGCTAAAAAATGTTATTGTTATTGTTACATATTGCAAATCTGGTAATAAAATATTACAGTTACCAAAAAAAATATGTTATTGTTCGTTTTTCAAAAAAATTGTAATTCAATAACTAAAGAAGGTCAATAAATAAGATAATAAAAATAAATATCTTATTATTTCTTAAAAAAACAATTTTAAATAAACACTAGATTTTAACAAAATTTAATGAATAAATTATTTAAATTTATTGGGTGACTTTCTAAGTGAAATATCAATAGTTGAGTGACTTTTTAAGTGAAATATTAATAGTTGAGTGACTTTTGAGTTATAAAAATAAAGTTGAGTGACTTTCTAAGGGAACAACTCAAAGTTAAGTGACTTTCTAAGTTAAGTATGCAAAGTTAAGTGACCATCTGAGGTATTATCTCCAAAGAGTTCTAACAGAGGTTCCAATAAAGATTTGATTTTGTAGTTTTGTATAAATCTATTTTAATTTTAGGTTCCAATAAAGATTTGATTTAGTAGTTTGTATAAATCTATTTAAACTTTATGTCTTTCATCTTTTATGCCATTGAAAAAGTGTTTTTTTTTTAAAAAAATATTAATTTATAAGTGATAATAAGAGATTATTTTTATGATCGTGTTTAGAAAAAAATCTTGTTTAATCACTTATTCATGATTTTTTCCTTAACAATGATAAAAAATATAGTTTCAATTTCACTTATGTTCAAATCTAGTAAAAAGCTTTCTTTCTTGTTTCTATTCTCTCACAAATGTTCAAAAAAAAAAACGTGAAATTTTATACTCTTTAATTCAATTTATATGACTCAGTTATTTTTAGTCTGTTCCAAAAATATTGATATATTTTTAGATTTAATAGAAATAATTTAACTCTAAAGTATTCATTTTATTTTAAAATGATTTAGAATCACATAAATATTTATAATTTATTTTTAATAACAAATTTTAAATTTTTTTTTTTCTTACACTTCCTACAATTAAAATATTTCAAATAAATTGAAAAGGGAGCTAATGATTTTGATTTTTAACTGCTATAATCACAACTTCAATTTAACAGCTTAGGTTCCCGCTTTTTGCTATACTTGGAAAAACATGATAAATTACTTGCAACACCCTTATAATATTGAGTAAGTTACGAATGCACCCCTTCTGTTTAAAATATCAAACCCCATATATTGTGAAAAATCTTTAAAATTATAGTACAATTGTAACGTATATTATGAAATTAAATATTTAGATCCCTGTATAATAAATACCTCCCACTTATGAAATTATATCAAATAATAAGTACTCTTTAAATTTTAATATGTCATTTAGGTAATTTTCTCTATGTCCAATATGTTGTTATATGTTATAGTTGTTTTACATAATATTTGGTTGAATAATTTTAACTTATATTAAGAGAAAATCTATTCCAAATAAAACTTAACTTCTATGGTAAAATATTGTCATAGAAGATGAATATTATAGTGAGATCAAATTATATATAAATCAATAGATATGCACCATTAAAATATAAGCGGTATCTTTGAAATATTGAGGAGTATCTTTGAGTTTTACTCTGAATCTAATAGGAATAGATTCATCTTTTTGTTTAAAGTTAGTCAATTATGTATTGATTTCTAGACTGCAAAATTGAAGAAAACAATCACTGATTCTTCAGAAGCTTCCAGCTCGTTAAATTTGTTGAATTCTTATACTTACTTCTGTTATGTTTATTAGTATAATTTTGTTCTAATAGAAAAAAGATTTCTAAAAGTTGCGTGTTTAAAGATGAGAAAATGATTAAAATGGTCCTTAATGTATGAGTAATGCTTTATTTTGATCTTTAATATATTTCATTTGATTGAAATAGTCTTTAATGTTTGACAAAAGAGTTTATTATGGTCTTTAATATATACTATCACTTGATTGAAATGGTCCTTAACCCAAAACAAAAAGTGTTCATTTTGGTCTTTTGCCCTAAACTTAACAAATTTATAAATTTAAAAACTGTTAAATTTAACTATTGACGCTATGTGGATAACAAAATTCACTATTATTGTCTTTTTATGCTATCCAAAGAAAGAATTACATAAAATCTAACACCATTTTCTCTACTTTCTCCAACAAATATACTATATTTTCTTTGTTAAAATATTATTCCATTGACCTAATACCAATTTCTATTTTAAGCAAGAGAAAATAGTAAATTTTACTAGAGAAAGTAGAGACAATAATGTTAGATTTCATTGAATTTTCTTTGAAGTTAATAAAGAAGACAATAATGATGGAATTTATTAGTCATATGGATCCACAGTCAAATTCAACACTTATGTTTTTAAAAAATCTGTTATTGTTAGAATAAAGCATCAAATTAAACACTTTTTGGTATATATTAAAGACCATTTCAATAAAATAAAATATATTAAAGATTAAAATGAACACTTTTATCATACACTAAAAACATTTTAATTCAAGTAAAATATATTAAAAATAAAAATAAAGCATTATCCATACATAAAAGATCATTTGATCATTTACTCGTTTAAAGATAGTCATAGAAATTAGACAATTTGCTATTGTGTTCTCTACAAGTTGTGGCGTACTGAAGTTCATCTGGTCAACGTTTCAAATCAAAACAAAGATAATAAAAAAAAAAAAAAGAGAATCCAAACTGGAACTTTTAATTTTTTGACTAGACTAGTAGATAGATACAAATTTCTATTATCCCCGACTCCCCGTGTTGATAGGAAGATGGTCATAAATTAATTAGGCCTCGTTATGTTTTTATTAAAATTAAAACATCTTACAGACATCTGATAAATAATGATGATTGTATCATGTATGGTAATTGAAGATGATATAGTTCAAAAATTAAAACATCTTACAGACATCTGATAAATAATGATGATTGTATCATGTATGGTAATTGAAGATGATATAGTTCAAAAAGATAATAGGTCTTTTAAGATCACTTACTACTTGTGATTTTAAATTGGGAAAATTGTATGAAATATCAAATTATTAATTCAAATTAAATGTTAGAATCATAGTTTATTTTATTTGTAATTCACAACAAACATCCCATTTTTTTGTCATATGGTTCGATATACAATTAGTCATTTTTGGTATACAATTACTCATTCAGTATACAAATGTATAAAATGCGTTTGTGTTTGTATAAAGCGAGAGAAAAATGTATATACAAATACATATTTTCTTCATATACACTTATAATTATATAAATACATATTTTTTTATACAAATTACAATATATAAATGAATTTATATAAAACAGAACAATTTGTATAAAATTGGATGTATAGATCTATCGAATTATACAAATCAAAAGCTCCATAGCAAACATAAAATTTTCTATGAAGCACAATTATGCAAACTATAGTTATAACATACAAACATAATTTTTATGTTTGTTATATGTGAAAGTTGCTCATTTAAATTTACCTCATCCTCTTTTAACTAGTTAAATTTACATCTAACAACAAATAGCTAAAATTTAACTAGTATTTTTTTTTCCGAATTCCCTTGTTATATATATAATCGGGTTGCATTATTGCAATTCTTGTACTCTGTTTTCTAGTTTAAAACTGCAATAATTTAATTTATTTTATGGAAAATCTATTTTGGCAATTGTTCCCTAACCTCCACTTTCCTATTTTGGTGTGTATAGTGAAGGACGATATGGAAGAAAGCAATAAAACTTTGCCGCGATTTGAACTCTATGGGTTTATGTCTCATGGCTAAATCTTTTTTCACCTAATCTTACTACAATTCAATGTTTTTTTACTATTTTTATAAGTTAGGTACATCATTTTTATTTTTTTACAGAGGTTAGATACTGAAGAAAGAAACCTAACCAGATTCTGATGGGAGCCTCGGGAGGGTACATGTAACAGTGACATTTTATTAATTAAAAGACAAGTCTCTATTTATGACACATATGACCATCTTTGAATTACTACATTATTGCGCTCTTCTCTTTATTTTATTTATTACTTTCAAATAAACAAATACTCCTATGTTGTTTAATTTAAAATCAATCTAGTCCATTGGATTTTTTAGGAGATAAAGTATATGA